GGACTGCCTGAGCCCAGCAGGTTGACACTGGGGTGGCCGTGGGTGTGCCACTGCACTCCAGCCTAGGTGATGGACTGAGACTCCAACTCCATCCCCATTTTTTTTAAGTGCATATTTATCTTATAAAAACCAATATTTCCTGAGAACTTACCAGGCACATATCACCTGCATATGTATTCATATATACATCATTTATATCTGTGGCCCTTTAGGGTAGCAAAAACTATTGCCCCCATTTTACAGATGAGGCCATTGAAATTAAGAGAGATTAAGTAACTTGCAGAAGGTTACCCTACCCAGCAGTGCTCCTTACCGCCATCTGGTCCTACCTCTCTGTACACAGAAAAAAGACTGGAAGGAAGCTACAGTAAGCAGTGGTTTATTCTGACAGAATTATGAGTGACTTGAAATCTCTCTATGGGTCTTATTGTTCCAAACTGTCTACGAGACTATCTACTCATTTATGGGTGTGTATATGTGTGCATGTGTATATAATTTTTTTCTGATTATTAAGACAGTGTTGCCTGGCTCACACACTGCTTGGGCCCAGGAGTTTGAAACCAGCCTGACAATATAGCAAGACCTTGCCTCTACAAAAAAATTTAAAAATTAACCAGGCACGGTGGTGCATGCCTGCAGTGCCAGTTACTCAGGAGTCTGAGGAAAGAAAATCACTTGAACCCAGGAGTACAAGTCATGGTGAGCCATGTTCATGCCCCTGTCCTCCAGTCTGCGTGTCAGACAGAATAAGACCTGATTGAAAAACAAACAAAAAGCAATGCTGCTTGTTAAAAGTCCAAACATTTCCAGATTTAGAAGTCCACAATTCAAGACCAGGCATGGTGCCTTGGAAGGTGGAGGTGAGAGAACTGCCCAAGCCCAGGAGTTCAAGACCAGCCTGGGCAATTTGGTGAGCCCTCGTCTCTACAATAAATCAAAATATTAGCCGAGTGGTGGCACATGCCTATGTTTCCAGCAACTTGGAAGGCTGAGATGGAAGGATCACCTGAGCCTAGGAGGTCAAGGCTCTGGTAGCCATGAGCATGCCACTGCATTACAGCTTGGATAACGGTGAAACTGACTTAAAAAAAAAAAAAAGAGTCTGTAATCCTGACAGAGAGGTAAACACTTAGGAGTTTGTTGTATATAACCCTAGAGTTATTTGTTTATAAATAAAAATATTCTAAAATTATATATAATTTGTATGTAATTGCTACTTCAAAAAATGTAATCAGATTAAACATACTATTTTGCAAGCTGTTTTTCCCCACAAGTTCGAAACCAGCCTGGCAAATTGGAGAGACCTCATCTCTACAAAAGATCAAAAAATTAGTTGGGCATGGTAGCTTGCACCTATAGTTCAGCTACTGGGAAAGCTGAGGTGGAAGGATCACCTGAGCCCAGCAGGTTGAGGCTGCAGTGGCTGTGAGTGTGCCATCATACTCCATCCTGGGTGACAGAGTGAGATCCCAAATGAAAAAAAAAGAAGCGGTGGCAGCTGGGCATGGTGGCTCACGCCTGTGATCCCAGCACTCTGGAAGGCTGAGGTGAGAGGATTGCCTAAGCTCACGGGTTTGTGACCAGCCTGGCCAACATGGTGAGACCTCATCTCCACAATAAATTTTTAAAAAATTAGCTGGGTGTGGTGGCACACGTCTGTGGTTCCAGCTATATGGAAAGCTGAAATGGGAGGATCGCCTGAACCCAGCAGGCTGAGGCTGTGGTGACAGTGAGCATGCCACTGCACTCTAGCCTGGGCAACAGAGTGAGACTCTCACTCAAAAAAAAAAAAAAAGTAGCAGCGGTAATGCTGGATGTGACTATCTAATGAAGTTATTGAGCACCTACTATGTGCCAAGCCCATTCTGGACACTTTGGTTTTTAGGTCAATTGAGACCTCTGCCTGGAACTTGAAAGGCCCCAAAAGCTGAAATTTACCTCCAATCTTTAGAGAAGTATTGGGAGAAGAAACACTCATCTAACCGTAGCTGTTCTGAGACATTCCTCAGCCCAGGAAAGAAACCTAACATGTGCTGGGCCTCTTGGATGTACTGGGCGCCTAACAGGTGCTTTGTACTTACTGTCTCATTAAATCAGCACACCAAATTTGTGAAGTAGGAACTGTTACTCTACTCTCAGTTTGAGAAAACAGAGGCTCAAAAAGATTAAGTGGCTTGCGCAAGGTCACCTAATGCCGAGTGGCAGATCCAGGACAAAAACAGGTCTTCAGACTTCAAGGTCCACACCCGCTTAGTATCCAACTGGCTCAGCATAATAGATTCTCTCCCTTTCCCACCCTGCCCAGACTCCCACTCATGAACCCAGAATTGCTCCACACCCACCCGGAGCCCCAACTTCTGCTTTATTTACTTGGCAACTGTCAAATGACCCTCAGAGGAAGTTTGAAATCCTAGACAGAAGTAAATATTTAACCCAAGGAAAAAGCAAACAGTCCAGTAGCAGACGGGGATATGCCCCGAGTGACCACTTCCATGTGACTGCGCTTTGTATACTTCACCCCAATGGTCACAGTCACCCTGTAGGAGGTTCTATTGTACAGATGAAAGAACTGAGGTTTGGATGGCTAAATACATGCCTCCGGACCGCAGAGTAGTGGTGGAGCCAGGATTTGAACCAGGTGTGTCTGACTATGCTTTGGTCAGACAGTAAGAAGAGAAAGGTAAGAAGAGACAGAAAGATGACATCCAGACTCCCAGGCCTTCCCCACCGCTCTGACTCAAAAAAAAAGATGAGGTCTTGCTATGTTGCCTAGGCTGGTCTCAAACTCCTGGGCTCAAATAATCCTCTTGCCTTGGCCCCCAAAAGTGCTGGGATGACAGGCGTGAATTACTGTACTGGCCTTCTGTTCTTTTTTTTTTTTTTTGAGTTGGGAATCTCACTCTATTGTCCAGGCTGGAGTGCATTGGCATGTTCACGGCCACGGCAGCCTCGACCTGCTGGGCTCAGGCGACCTTTCCGCCTCAGTCTTCAAAGTAGCTGGAACTATAGACCGCGCGACCACGCCCAGCTCATTTTTTAATTTACTATAGAGATGAGGTCTCACCAAGTTGCCCAGGCTGGTCTTGAACCTGTGGGCTCAGGCAGTCCTCTCACCTTGGCCTCCCAAAGTGCTGGGATTATAGGCAGGAGGCCTTGCTGTTCTCTTTATTACCATTCTCTCCCAAATTCCCTTGTTTCTTACCTCTATGTCTCTGCCCACACATCTCCCTCCTACTGGAGAGGTATTTGCCTGACTTTGTCTACCTGGCAAATACCTCTTCATCTCTTACTAGTCAGCCCAAACCTTCGTCTTGGATACAGCTGAACCCCCAGGCCAAGCTGGGGACAGACTACCCACCTTGATACACTCCCTGCTTCAGCACCTGGCGGTCAGCCCCGACTCCTGCAAGCTCTGTGACCCGCTTTCTTGGATCCCTCACAGGGGGATGCTGAAAGCCACCCTCCTGCCACAGGGGACACCTTTGTCTACACAGTGCCCTTTCAGCTCCCACCCTCCTTACTAGCCCTGCAGCTGTCAATCCCAGGGCTCAACGGTGATGCCTTTTCTCAGAGACATAATTTACATGCCCCTTAAAAATACCAGGTATCCACTGGAAAAAATAAAATGTGAAGCTTCTGTGTTGGAAGGAAAAGGGTCAGGAAGTGGAAGGGGGAAATGAATGAAATATTTGTTTTTGTTTTGTTTATGGGGACTCACTCTGTCACCAGACTGGAGTGCAGTGACACAATCATGGCTCACTATAGCCTCAGCCTCCTGGGTTCAAGTGATCCTCCTGCCTCAGCCTCGAGAGTAGCTGGGACTACAGGCTGAATGAACTGTTTAACCGTCAGAGAAAGACATGATAGAAAACAGAGTTGAATGCAGACTCATAGACAAGAAAGAACCACTTCCCTATCACTATTGTCTCTTTCTAAATTCACCTCCCCCAGGCCACCAGGATCCCTCCCCTCATAGAGCCATGTGCAGAGGGATCTGGATGGCAACCTGGGACAACATATGCTGCACATTTCTGGACAATGAGATTGAAGACCCTTTCTAGCTTTCTCCTTTAAACTTTCATGGACCAAGTGGATTTTGTAAAATATGTATATTTTAGGCCAGATATGGTGGCTCATGCCTGTAATCCCAGCACTTTAGAGGCCGAGGCAATAGGATTGTTTAAGTCCAGGAGTTCGAGACTCACTGGGGCAACATAGTGAGACCCTGTCCCTACCAAAAAAAAAAAAAAAGAAAGAAAACTGCCAGGCAGGTGGCTCACACCTGTAATTCCAGCACTTTGAGAGGCAGAAGTGAGAGGATTGCCTCAGCCCACAGGTTCAAGACCAGCCTGGGCAACTTAGTGAGAGCTCATCTCTACAATAAATCAAAAAATTAGCCAGGTGTGGTGAAATACACCTGTAGTTCTAGCTACTTGGAAGGCTGAGATGAAAGGATCACCTGAGCCCAGCAGGTCAAGGCTGTAGTGGCTGTGAGTGTGCCATTGCACACCAGCCTGGGAAACGAGTGAGACTCCTACTCAAAAACAAAAAATCAAAAAATTACCCAGGTGTGGTGATATGTGGCTGCAGCCCCAGTTATTCGGGAGGCTGAGGCGGAAGGATAGCTTGAGTCCAGGATGTAAAGGCTGCACTGAGCCGTGATTGTGCCACTAAACTCCAGCCTGGGTAACAGAGTGAGATCCCAACAAAAAAAACACATATTTTTAAAGCAAACAATAAAGTCATTATTTTAAAAATGCATTATAGGCACATTATTCAACAATGCAGAAGCAAACATGACAGGAGTCTAGGGCTATCCTTGGGGGAGGATGAATTGCACTCGGAATCCTCTGGATTAGAAGAAGTAACAGCAGGAGGGGAGGAACCGTCAACATCCTGGGAGGCCATGGGATTAGGACTGCACACCCCCACCAGGTCCAGGATCCCACCCGCCTGAAGGCCAGGCCAACACCCCAGGCTGCCCTGCCCTGGACCCTTACCCAGCCTGATGTCTCCCTCCAGGGTCATCAGCACGTTGCCGGCTTTCAGATCTCGGTGGATGATCTTCTTGCCATGCAGGAAGTTGAGCGCTTCCAGCATCTGGCGGCAAACGACCTGAATCTGTGGCTCCGTGAGGCCTCTGTCTAGCTCTGGAAACAGAAAAGAGCTGCGGTCAACCAGCCAGCACTCACACAGGCAGCTGCGAGCAAGAAACACAAAAGCCACCAATGTCATGGACAACTGCGCTGGGCTCACTTCCAAGCACTTTATATGTCCTGACCCATTTTGTCCTCACAGCAATCCTGTAGAACAGACATAATTATTGTCCCCATTTTACAGATGAGGAAACTGAGGCTTAGGGAGGCAAAGTCACTTGCTCAAGGTCATGGACGTGGAAGTCACACAGATCTGAGATTCAAACTGGAGACTCTGGATTCAGAGCTCGGGTCCATAAACATGAATTGTAGAGATCCGTGGCATCAGCAGACACCAGGTGGTGCTTATAAGCTTGGTGCAGGAAAGCAGAGGGCAACATGGAAACGTGGAGTAACCTGTGGAGGCCTGAGGCAGGTCATACAGGGCCCTGCTCTGAGGCCTCCTCTGGCTAAAACAGGCCCAGAGTTACCTGGCCAGGAATCCACAAGGCTCAACTGTCCCTGCCAGGTCCCCCAGGTCTCCCACAGACACCAGCCAGAGCTGCAGGCAACAACTGCAACTTCCCTGGAAGCCAGACCCAGGGAAGGGCTCCTAGACCAAGGATCCTCCCTCTGGGGTCTGCAAACAGCTCCCTCTCCCTGTGGCCTCAACCTTAACCTCCGTGTCCCCATAGGGGCCAGGCTCAGAGCCTGCATGGGCTCTGGGAGCACACAGACTGATCCTGCGCCCAGGTGCTGCCTCTCACTAGCGGTGCGGTTTCTGCTCCAGCTCTTCTGGGCCTTCATCTCCCTGTCTGTAAAATGGGATGATTATAATTAGAGTAGGGGGGCTACATCCATAAAGCGTGTTAAGATCTCAGCATGGCCGGGCTCGGTGGCTCAGCCTGTAATCCAGCACCTTTGGGAGGCTGAGGTGAGTGGATTGCCTGAGCCCGCGGGTTCGAGACCCGCCTGGGTAACTTGGTGAGACCTCATCTCTATAATAAAATAAAAAAATCAGCTAGGCATGGTAGCTCATGCCTGTAATTCTGGCTACTCGGAAGGCTGAGGTGGAAGGATCGCCGGAGCCCAGCAGGCGAGGCTGCAGTGGCCGGGAG